TTCTTGCCATCTCTACATGGACACACCCATGCAAGTGTGTAGATACACAGGAAATTCACTTAATAATCAAACACTATAGGAATAAAGAGAGACAGCTTCCAAGTTTTCTTTTCCACCCATAAATGTTATAATTATTCTCATACTATAACATATCATGTTATAATTATCTCATACTTTCAGTCCTGAAAGCTCAGAAATAGTCCCTTGGGATTTTCCCTCAAGGGTTGATTCTGTCCTACAGATATGCACGGATTCAGGTGTAAGGGATGGTGAGGGTTTATATACTGTAGGATTCTGATGTTTTTTGACAAACATCCTGAAGACCAGACCTGATTGCCTTCAGTTCACTGTGCTGACATCCAGAATTAGGTATGCAAGTGCATTAAAAAAGCAGATGAACAACTAATTGTCAGGTTTTTATGTGGTAGTTGGCTGTTGAAATAGTGAAGATTAGTGCTGTTGAACTTTACAGAGCCTGAGTCTATACATAAACTGGTCAAAATTCTCAGAAAATCAGATTTCATTTCAACCACCCAATTTGAATTAATTAACATTGTATGAAGATTATTTTTCACTAAAAAATGTTTATTTCCTAAATTCTCAAATTGTAGTTCAGTGTGACCTGTCATGATGGTTATGAATATATATATGTGCTCTCCTTGCCAAGAAAGAGGTCAGTGGAAATGGTGGAAATCAGGGTATTCACATCATGACCAACAGAAAAATACTTGAAAAATTCCTGATCATGTCAGAACACTATTGCTTCTTATCTGCCCTCACTTGCTCTTCAAAAGGAGAATCCAATTCACATTTTTCCTGAATCACTGAGAAAGAACATGGCTTGTAAAGACTGGGTACAGTCAGAGGAGGATACAAATTATTATTATTGTGTCTGGGATAAGGACAGATATATATCCTTCAAAGTTATACTTTATACTTTGCAATATTTGTGTTTATTATTACTGCATTATGGATTTGCTCAGTTTAAGTTTAATTTCCTTGTACAAATGTAAACTCAGTACTGAACACACTTTAAAATTGTCTTTCAAAAGTTGAATTTAATCTGCATTTACTACTATATCACTTGCTGTGAGCTTGGATCATTAACTGAGAGATTTGAAAATGAGACCTAAACTCATTGCATAACAAGACAGCCAGTATTAGTATTTAGTATATAGTGCAAATATGAGATATATTAATAGTATATTTATCTAAGGAAATCTCTTCAGAATGCAACACAAGTTATCTCAGGAACACATTTCCTATTCTTAACTTATGGGTATCCTGGGTTTTCCCTAATTTTTCTGTTTTCTTTTGTTACATCACTATGACACAGTTAGGAAATGACTGTTCAAACATATTAAGAGGAAGGAACAGGTCATGATCATATATTTTTCACCAATATGTGACAATTTTGAAGGTACAACAAATTGTGTCATACTTCTTGTTCATTTTATAGATGTTTTGAATTTTTATACTAAAGTTATTATATAAAAAGGCAAGATTTGGGCTGGGAATTTAGCTCAGGGGCACAGCGCCTGCCTGGCAAGTGTGAGGTCGTGAGTTTGATTCCCGGTACCGGAAAAAAAAAAAAAAAAAAAAGGCAAGGTTTATCTCCAGTGTTTGTTATTTCAGGGAAGAAAAAGGGAATTTTTCTACAGTATACATGAAGCTGGCCCTGTATCTTGATAGTACAACTTATTCATTTTGTAACAATTGATCAGCTTCATATGAATACTAACCTAAATAAATGCATGCATGCTATATATTAATGAACATTTTAATTATTAAAATGCACTTCAAAATCTAGCCTTTTACTGCATTAATACGTAATTCCTCATACATATGTTTGTTAAAATATACACCTTAGTATACATATGCAATTTCTTAGCTTTGTTTCCTTAATGGAAAATTTTGAAAGAAATTTGAAAACTGCAAAATCAATTGTAAACAAAGTAAAAATTGACAACCTTGGGAGAAATAAGTTTGATGACAATTTGTATATAAAAGAAGCACTTTCTTATTCTATTAACACATATTAATCTCCATGATATAAATACTACGCTTTTTTGTTCGTCTTGCAGTAATGAAGTCTATTGCAGTGTTTTAAGTGTTTTTGTTCTTTTCTCTTTAAAAAAATGAGAAAAAATAGTTAAATCATAAAAAAAAATGAAGAGACACTCATAAAATATGGTTAAGTGAAGCCCCCGTTTTTCACCGTTGTACATTGACTGGTAACTGTGAAATGTAATTTCCACATTTTGTATCATTTTACTTGGTGAAAACTGTTTTAAACATGGAATAGGAACCATTCGGTGCCATCAGCTTTAATTACCCTGTGCTAAGAATTTTATGTATCGATTCTAAAAGTGAAATTGAGCCAACATTTACTGCCCTTGGTTTCTAATCTGACTTACATTGATATTTCCTTCCAGGTTTTATAGTATGTTTTCACATTTGTGTGGTCGGTGTTCTCCAAAGTGTTTGGTTATTTGGTTATGATTTTTGGAACATCTTTTTAAATTGCTTTTCTTATGGCATTATTTTTTTCTTCTGTCTTGCCTCTTTTCCTACATTTTATGATGTGAATTTTATTTAGATATTTGCATTTTCTGCTGATTTGTGAGGGACTCATTTTTACTTTTTCAAAGAAAATAAGTGGATAAATAATTTAATCATTCTTAAAATTTACCAAGAAATTTTATTCATTTATTGATTAATTAATCTGTGAATTCATTTTAAACATTTATGGACATCTAAATATCTATCTGCAATGTCTTGCTAGATGCTTCAAATACAAATATGAAGTCAAAATTGAAATATTAAATGTTGTGTTTCTTCATGGTCATTCCAGGCTATATGAGGTGTAATTTACAAAACACTGAGCATTTAAATAAAAATCAAAAACTATTCCAGTAAAAAATACGTTGCCATTAATCCAGTCAAAAGATTCCCACAAACTTTGAACACAGTGTCCCATCATTTTGCCTTGAAGTACTGCATCCAGGAGGTCCTTTTTTATAACTGATTCTTTTCTGGTACAATGAGCACTGCACAGGAAACACCTAAATGTCTTCTGAGAAGCAAATTCAAACAGTATTCCAAGAAAATCTTCTCCATTGCTTGTCACTGTTCCACAGTCTTGGAACAGAGTTCTCAAGTCTCTTTATTGAGTCGGAATTAGTAGTGACAGAAAATTTTAACTTTAAAAAAAAGTTAAAAAGAAAATAAAATTTATAAAACAAACAATAAAATATAGGAATTATGGAAATATATTTCAACGAAACATGTGTTTATCAAGTGACTATCATCATTAATTTATCGTAAGGAAGATCAGGATCATTATTTGTGTTAAGAATACATTCACTATGTTGATTCAACACTGTTTCTGTCTATATTATCATTTTAATCTACAATTTTTTGTGTGTTTCTTTTTGAGACAGGGTCTCGCTATGCAGTTCAGGTTGGCCTTGAGCTCACTTTGTAGCCCAGGCCAGCCTCAAGCTCGCAATAATCCTTCTGCCTCAGCCTCGTAAGGGCTGGGATAACAGGCGTGCACAACCATACCTGGCAACCTACAATATTTTTAAATAGTAAGCTTATTTATATTTATTTTTAGTATGCTCCATCTTAAAAAATGGAGAGAAAGTAAATAACACATACTTGGCATAACAGGTAATGAGCATCTGTTATTTAGTTTTACGCTAAAATATCAATGAATGATCACATCAAGGAAGCACGTGCGATATGGACCTGTGTAAAATTAGGAGGTCTTTTGCTAAAGCAATTATATGAAATTCCATGGGGAAAGGAGACAGGAAAGAAGGGGGAAGGGATAATAATTCAAGTTAGCTATACTGTTAGTGTCTTTTATTTCATTGAAATGGAAAGTTTGGGCTCATATCTATTGAAGAAATTTTTACACCCATATCTTTTACTCTGAGTAAACACTTTCAACATGACAATATACAATTTATTAACTATAAATACAATGTATTCTGCTATTATTTTGTTATCAAATTATGTTTTACCTTTTCTCAATAAAATATAAAAAGAAATTCCAGCAGAATGGTGCATTGTATGTTATATTTCATAGTTTCTTCAAACACATTTCATGAGTTAGAGCATGACTGTACGAAAGGCTCAAAAAATACGTCCAAAAAAGAATAAGATGACAAAAAAAATCAAAAGGCAATAGAGTTTTCAAACTACATTATTCCTTTTAAAAAGTTGATTGGATTTATAATGATTTGAAATTTTTTATACTTAAGTTCCTTTAATAAAATATGTATCTAAATCATTGCCTTGTAAGTTCCATAAATATATAAAAATACAACCAGTACTTCAATATTTCCTAAGTATATCAATAAAAAGTTCTTATACATATGTGCTCTAAGAAATCTGCATGCCTCAAAGCATACACTCACTAGATATTAAGTCTCTGAACTAACCAACCCCAGAGCTGATATTGTGAAATGTTAATGATAAATCACCAAGTAACATAGAGTATGCCACTTGTCAGAGTTTCTCTTTCGTAAGAGAAGTCAAACAGTGTGGGTAACAGGATGAGAATAATGAAGATGCTAAATCCTCCCTTACTATCTGGATACTGTATAAGCTCACTTCCAATAATCTCTCAAGGATTTCAATATTTTTCCTACTTGCAATGGCCAGAACATTCAGAAGCTGATAATAATGTGGTTATACCAAATATTAGTCAATATCTACTTTTATATTGAGAAATTTAGTCCTTTTTTGTGGCATAGCAGTGGATGAAGTAAGAGCTATTTCTAAACTTATTTGCTTGATTATTTGCCATATTTTTTTTCTTTTTTTAATTTTTGGATACCAGAAACAGGACTCAGGACACAGTGCTTGCAAGGCAGGCACTTATGCCACTGAGCTAAATCCCCGGCCCACAATATCTTTTTTGTGACCCATGTTATGATTCAGTGAAAATGTAGAGGTAATACTAATCTTTTCTCTTCTCTTTGTAAAGCATGTTCCATGATCTCAGAATTCCGAATAACTCTAAGTTCCAGGTCACCGAGTTCATCCTGATGGGATTCCCAGGCATTCACAGCTGGCAGCACTGGCTCTCCCTGCCCTTGGCTCTTCTCTACCTCGTAGCTCTCTGGGCCAACATCCTCATCGTCATCACCATCAAACAAGAGGCATCCTTGCACCAGCCTATGTACCAGTTTCTGGGCATTCTGGCTGTGGTGGACATGGGTCTGGCAACCACCATCATGCCTAAGATTTTGGCCATCTTATGGTTCAATGCTAAGGCCATCCGTCTCTCTGAGTGCTTTGCTCAGATGTATGCCATCCATGTTTTTGTGGGCATGGAATCAAGTATCTTTGTCTGCATGGCCATAGATAGATATGTAGCCACTTGCCAACCACTGAGATACCCATCAATAATTACTGAACCTTTTGTGATCAAAGCAACTATTTTCATGGCACTCAGAAACTGTCTTTCTCTCATCTCAGTATCCATGCTTGCTGCTCAAAGGAATTACTGCTCTAGGAACCAGATAGAGCACTGTCTTTGCTCTAACCTTGGAGTCACTAGCCTATCTTGTGATGACAGGAAAATTAACAGTATCACCCAGGTAATTCTGGCTTGGTTAATCATGGGAATTGATCTGGGACTGATTGTTTTATCATATGCTTTGATCCTTTGGTCTGTCTTGAAGCTTAACTCAGTAGAAGCTGTGTCTAAGGCCTTAAACACCAGCACAGCCCACCTTATTTTAATCTTTTTCTTCTATTCAGTCATTGTTGTCATCTCCATTACTCACAGTGCGGTTGTGAGTGTTCCCCTCATCCCAGTTCTCCTCAACGTCCTGCACAATGTCATCCCCCCTGCTCTCAATCCCATGGTGTATGCACTCAAAAACAAGGACCTCAGGCAGGGCCTGTTGAAGGTGCTCGGGCTGGACACCAAAGCTAGCTAACATGGAGAACATATTCACACATTTTTCTTTCCATTATATTCCCCCATTGATGAAAATGGTGAAAAAAAATAACAAGTGTATTGGGGCAGGTTTTCAGATAACATAGGAAATCAGTAGGAACAACTGAAGTCTCAGAACATAAAACATGACTCAATATTTGAAATCTGCCATTGTCAAGCAAAGTTCTTTATCACGAAGTGTAACACAATGAAGTTCTTTGGCACAAGGATCCCATGAGAAAGAGAACTGGCATGTATATTTCATTATGTCCTCTACTTGCTTTGCCCTGAATTTCCAGACATTGTTAGTAGACGTGTTTGCAGCACATATTAGTCAAGATCTAATTTTAAACTGGAATTTATTCTTTTATTTTTGCTGTAATTATGGATAAAGTAAGAGATACTTCTGAGTTTTTCATAATCACTTTAATAACTGTCTTTTTATGAGGAAAAGGCTTGAAAATCCAATTTCTCTTTGAAGACATTCAAGTAAAAAGAAATATCTTTAAGTATACTCAAGATGACTAGTTTTCTTAAGTAAATTCCAATAAAAACTACAAGAATTTATCAGTACACCTTGCAAAATGACTAAGTTTTAAAAAGAAGAAATAGTAAAAATATTCTTAGTCATATGTATGCACTGGAATCCTGATACATTGCTGTTGGAATAGAAAATGGTACCATAGCTGTGAAAAATTGTTTGTTAATAATTAGTAATTTTTTTACTATCTGATAAAATCTTGTTGTAAACAAATATATACTAAAATTTATATTTTTAAAGTTGACTTATTTCGTTGGGCATGTGGTGCACGCCTATAATCCCAGCACTTGGGAGACTGAGACAGGAGGGTTGCCACAAGTTCAAGGCCTGCCTGAGCTACCTAGAGAGTTCAGGACCAAGCTGAACTGCATTGCAAGATCCTGTTTAAGAAAAAAAGGTGACTTAGTTAAAGAGGTAAAGTAAAGCTAAATTGCATAAAAATCAAAATGAAGTTTATTGTAAGAAATTAAAAGTAAATAAATCACAGAAGCCAAATGAACAAGGAGAAGTACTGGTGTGCTGTAACACACACACACACACACACACACACACACACACACACACACTTAAAGAGATTATATTTACTGAAAAATGCCAGACACAAAAAAGCCTACATGTTTGAGAACTGCACTTATGTGAAAACTCCAAGTTGGTAAGCCCAAAGAAGCAGAACACAAATGACTTATTGCCAGATGATGGAGCACAAAGGACTCAGTAATGGTTTTTGAGGGTTTTTTTAGCATTCCTTTAAAATATTCTGGAATTATATACTAGCAATGGGCATTCAGCATTGTGAACATACTAAAAGCCACTCAAATGTACATTTTTAAATGGTTTAAGTGATGAATTCTGTGGTACATGACTTTATTTTATTTTATTTATTTTATTTTACTTTATTTTATTTTTAATTTTATTCTAAGGAGAGTAGTAAATGAGAAAAGAAAAGAAAAAAAGAACAACAGAATCATATCATCATCACAAACCAAAGCAAGAACACTTAAAGTGATACAGGTTTTCAAGACAAAATGATATGAATTAACAGTGGTTGTTATATTACATATAGTTATCTTCAACTATATTGCTCAGATTACCAGCTGTAAGAAAGGAAGTTTGTTCAAACCATTAAAGAGAATAAGAAAATAATTGTTAGATAATACATTACAGATAATACAGAGTTCACTAGAGAAGATGGTAGGAATTCACCATGGTAGTTCCACTGCATATTGTTGAGCTCAAATCAGTTGCTCAGATTACTAGATATAAGCATGCAAAATTGGTCAGAACATAAAACATTTTAAGCATCAACTGTTCCTTCAATATACCAACAGACATTGGAAGTAAAGTTATTGCAGCTATATATATACATTTTGCCTTCCTTCTTTCTTTTTTCTTCTTTCCTTCATTGCAATCATTTCTTCCTTTGAGCAGTTTCTTTCCCTTTCTTATCATCTATTGTATGTTTTGAGTTTTACTTATTCTTTCAGGTTCCTACACCAGGGAGACAATATGAAGTTTACACATGTGGGTCCGATTTATTTCACTTATGAGTATGGTCTCTAGTTGCATTCATTTACCTACAAAAGCCTCGAGTTTATCTTTTTTTATACCTGAGTAATACTTCATTGTATAAAAGTACTATAACAAATTGTACTGCTGTAAACATGGGTGCACATATGTCACTGTGCTATGATGTTTTCTTTTTTTTTTTTTTTTTTTTTCTCCGTACCGGGAACCGAACTCATGACCTTGCGCTTGCCAGGCAGGCGCTTTTGCCGCTGAGCTAAATCCCCAGCACCCCTCCTTACTACACTTTTATCTCTTAAGAAACTAGGTAAATTTTCATTGTGAAACTTACAGATGGAAGCTGCTGAGCAATGAGAACAGAGACGATGGAGGTTTTTCTATAAAT